TTAGGGTTTGGGGCTTTATGGGTTTAGGCGTTTAGGGTTTAGGGGTTAAGGGATTAAGGGGTTTAGGGGTTTAGGGTAACACAGAAATCTTAGGATTAACATTCAGGGTTTAGGGGGTCTTATGGAGCAAGGTTTGGGGTTTAGGATCTTAGGTCTTTGGGTCTGATAAGATTATAAGGGCCATATCAGGTTTGAATCAACGGCTTAAGGGTTTTTGTTATAAGGATTCCTTAACGTTTTGCCCAAGGATTTATACGAGAACATTGAAGCGTTTTCATGAAGGTTTTACAATCAGGGTTCTTCAACCTTTTTGCTCAAGGTTTTATACGGGGACGTTGAAGCCTTTTCATCAAGGTTTTACAAGGGCTTTTTGAACGTTGTAACAAGGATTCTCGCGAGGGTTTCGGAATGCACGAGATCTTTCATGCAGAGCCGCGGTTGAGGGCTTAGGGTTTTAGGGGGTTTAGGGTTTAGGGTTTAGGGTCTTGGGTTTTGGGTTTAGGGTACCCTAAACCCTAAACCCTAAACCCTTTAGGGTTTAGGGTTCAGGGTGTCTTGGGGCTTGTGGGGCTTACAGGGCTTGCTTCTAGAGCTGAGGACTTCCCGAGAGCTTCCGAGATCCCTGAAATGAAGGAGTCTACCGTGGAAGTAGAGTCGGATCCCCAGTATGACTTAAAGTATAGGGTTTATAGGGTTTAGGGTTTAGGGTTTAGGCAGTCGGATCCCCAGTATGACTTAATTAAAGTATACTCCTTGATGATGGGATTTATATGACTTAAAGTATATCTTCTCCTTTATAATGGGAGTTTTTGGAAGGTCTGGGGATGTATAAGTAAAGCAATTGGTGAGGCTTCAGGTTTGGAGAATACCGGGGGTTGGTCTCCCTCGGATAAAACCCCAAAAACCAAACATGCAAAACAAATCCGCATATAACCCGAATAGAAAGCCTCGTTTTGCAGCAACCTGACAACGCCATATGAGAGGCTACTTCGGAATCAGTGGTCGTGGGCTTAGGTCGGACGGATGTGGAGGATACCTTCCAAACCCTAAACCCTAAACTTTTCAACTCTAAACCCTAAACCCTAAACCCTAATTTCAAACCCTAAACCCTAAACCCTAAACCCTAAACCGTGGACTACATGTGCACCTCTGCCCGAAACTCGAAACTCAACACCGGAGCCGAGATCAAGGGTCCTCAAACCCTAACGTAGGGGCCTCAAGAAGTCGAATGGAGACCCTACACTGTGGGTTTAGGATTAGGGTTTAGGGTTTAGGGCTTAGGGTTTAGGGTTTAGGGAAGTAGAATGGAAACCCGAAACTGTGGGTTTAGGGTTTAGGGCTCCTTTCAAGCATAACTATAATAAGGAACCCAAAGAAATACTATTGGTAATTAACTCCCAAAGGGTCCAATATATAGCCTTTGTAGTAGAATCTAGGGCTTCTCTATCTTATTTGAAACTTTTCCATGATTTCTGAAAGTATTCCCCCATAACCCTAAACCCTAAACCCTAAACCCTAAACCGGACCCTTTGGGATTTAGGCTTCTACCTTCGCCGTCCCCAAAACCCCCTAAAGCCTTGTCGATCCACCCCCCCTAAAAGGGACCCGTAGACTCCTTAAGCCCAGGGACTTAAGAGGGTTTAGGGTTTAGGGCTTAGGGTTTAGGGTTTAGGGTTTAGGGTTTAAGGGTTAAAGGTACCCTTGGGGTTATATAGGGGCTTTCTGAGACTACATAAGGGGTATATAAGGGTATTTGGATTAGGTTTCTTTTTCTTGGGGTCCCTCCTATTGTCCCTTAACCTTAACCCTGAACCCTGAACCCTAAACTCTAAAAACAAATTCCTTAAATCCTAAAGCGAAAAGACTCCGGGTGCCTCCAACCATGATCCTGATCTTCGACAACCCGTGAGAACGCCTTTTTACTCTCGGCTTTAGGGTTCAGGGCTTCTGGTTTGCTGTTAAGGCTCTAGGGTGTCTGGCTTAGTGTTTAGGGTTTGGGGCTTCTGGAGTAGTGTTTAGGGTCCAGGGTTTCTGGCTTAGTGTTTAGGGTTTAAGGCTTCTGGTGTAGTGTTTAGGGTCTAGGGTTTCTGAGGTCGGCTCGCCCAGCTTTGGTCGTTTCTTTTGTTTCAAAGGCTCTTCTCCGAACCCTAAACCCTAAACCCTAAACCCTAAACCCTAAACCCTAAACCGTTGTGTACCAGGATGAGACGGTAAGTCGGTTCGGTCCCGGATGGGGGGTCTAGGGTTTAGGCTTTTCGGGTTTTAGGGTTTAGGGTGTACCTGTACTATGCCCAATCGAGAGAATAGGAACCCTAAGGAAAGGGTTGGCACTTATTTCGGAATCCATGTTAGTTCTGCCCGCTTAGGTTTCAGGCTTTGGGCACGGAGATTTCATTCCGAAGGAACAACAAGGCTTGGTCGGAAGAGGGTACGCATTGCAGGGCTTCGAGATCCGACTGTTGGACATTCTAACCCCAAGGGTCCAAACGACTTAACAATCATGCACTTGGGTTACGGATAGTTTTGTAGGTTAGTATTCAGAAGAGTATATGATCATTAGGTGCTTCAGCTTTCCAACTTACCCTAAACCCTAAACACGTAAACTAAATCCTAAACCCTAAACGGTTTAGGGTTTAGGGTTCTCTAAACCCTAAATCTGTGGAGAAGCAAAAGGTCAAGCTGACCGACAAGAACGGAGACGCGAGAGCCACCAACGGACAGAATCGCTAGCAAACAGAAGCATCCAACATAGCTTTTATTGTAGTTCCTGTTGTTGGTTTAAACCAGTTCCATATTCAGGATCCTACAATGCAACCGCAAACGAGCTACGATAAAAACTATAAGTAACCATAATAGGCTTTTTGTGACATGTTCTACAACTATATCGGGACTATACACTAGGGAATAGTACCACTACCCCTACCTTGACATATGGGAACAAACTGAGCAAACGATGCGTTTCTACGAAGCGACCCTAAACCCAATGCACTTCACCCAATAAAGCTCCATGCATGGTATGTGTATCTGTATATATCATACATACAAGCATATACACATACATGCAGATATTAATGTACCTACATAGGAAACACCCCAAGGCTTACGTATATACTATGTAAATACATGGAGCCTAAGGGACCAGGCTCAAATTCACCCCTTTTGAAGTAGATAATGTAGGGGCCTTAGAAATTCGAATAGGGTTTTGGGGCCGTTTATACTATAATTACAATAAGGACCCCCAAAATAGTATTGGTAATTATTTAGGTTCCTATATTAAGTGTTGTCACCCAAAAAAGCACGAAGCTAAAGGACCAAACCTACATCAGACGTTGAGCCCCCTTCGGCTCCGGGTTTAGGGTTTAGGGTTTAGGCGATTTAGGGTTTAGGGTGTACTCTTGCTGCTGCGGAGGATCAGTTGTAGTGGATCACCTCGGCGGAAGCATGTGGGTAGTTCTCCAAACTAGGGTCCCTTTCAAGGTCTTGTTGTTCAAGGGTGCTGCGCTATTTCGGGGGGGACCTTACTTGGAGGGTCGGGAGACTTAGTAAGTAGGCAATAAGTAGACTTATCAGTACCCTAAAAGGGAGCCTAATTGGGGTTATAGTACTTATAAGTCGATAAAATGACCATTTACTAAGTCCCCCGACCCTCCAAGTAGAAGGGATCCTAATATAGCGAACTACCCATATGGCGAAGGAGCAGTAGCAGCCAGAATCTCCAAAGAGTTCCCCGACTTACTCTCAGGGCCGTAAGGACGTGTAGAACACGGTCTTAGGATATGGGTATCTGTCAAAATTAGGGTCCCTTTTGGGGTACCCTAAATAATAGGTGCCGTATTATAATAAGAACCCAAAAAGGGACCATAATTTTGACAACCACCCTTATGTGACAGCAAACTTGAGTTAAGGAACCCAAAGGAATGCGACTGCTAACTATACCGACTTCCAGACCCTAAACCCTAAACCCTGTATATCATGCACGCCATGGCCACAACTCTCAGGAATGCAGACTTCGCCCATAGAATTCAGACACCGTCAACAACATTACCGTCGTCAGCATACTCATAGGGTTTAGGGTTTAGGGTGTGGCACCACTATGGCAGCATTAAAAGAGTATCATCATTGCCACAAGCATAATCATCAGAACCACCAGCACCAACACCAAGAACCAACAACATCACCGCGGCTATCACCGCGACCGTCGCCGCCGCCACCACCACCATCACCAATAATGCGATTTCGCTCACTCTCTTCTTCAACAACCAGGCCCTAAAAAGTTCATCAAACTTTTTAGGATAGACCTAATATATAAAGCCAAAAAGTTTAAAATTCTCCCTTTGGCTATCGATGCTCATCAGCCATCATCGTCACCACCCTCGTCAAAAATCATCCTCGACCTTATCCTCGGCCTCGTCCTGGGAGTCATGGTGGGCCGCAGGTGTCATCCACCTCCTCGACATCACCGCGAGCATCACCCCCTCACAAAAGCAAAACGATAAACCCGAAACCTTACACCCTAAACCCCTAAACCCTAAACCCCTAAACCCTAAACCCCTACACCCCTAAACCCCTAAGCCCTTAAACCCTAACCCCTAAACCCCTAAACCCTAAACCCCTAAACCCCTAAACTGCACGTCCATCTGCAACACGTCCGCCCACCACTCCACTGTCCTGCCAGTCGCGGTCAAAACGAAGTAAGAAGAAAAGACCGTCCCTACCTGGCCTTAGCCGATGTGTCATCACGAGGTTGACGGCCCTCTCGTACTGGTTGTGGGTGGGGCGCGCAGTGGCCTGAGGTAAGTAAAAGTCTATCG